TGATGTAACCCTTCTCCTCATGTATCTGTTTTTGTTCAATAATCAGGAGACTTTTTTCCATCACCTAGGGAAATTATGATTTTTATGGAGCCTTTCATATTTTCGTCTGGTGAAACAAATTTTTCTAGAAATGATGGTAAAATTCAGAAAATTCATGCTATTTAGTTGATTATGTATGAGTGAATTAATAAATATATATGAGTGAATATATATATAAGTGAATTAAAAGGAAAATATTTAATATAATATGAATCTAAAACCCAACAATAGTACACAACTTTCTGATGTTTTCTTATTTACTTGTCTATCTTTAACCCTTCCCAAGCCATTTACCACTGCAGTAACACATTGTAAAATATGTAGAAATAGAAAGCTAATGTTTACCGAAATTGTCATAATATGGGGCTGGGGATTTAGCTCAGTGGTGGAGCTGCCTGGCACGCAAGTGCAAGGTCCCAAGTTTGATCCCTGGTACTAAAAATAAAAAAATTGTCACAATATGAACAAAACAAAGATGTCTCATAAAAAGTTTTTATGTGAGGAATATTAAATGTGTGTTGGCTGCTTTCTGTTTGATTTTGGGGTTGGGTCTGGTAAAGAAACAGTTGGAATACGGAGTGATCCAGCTGAGAAGTTATAATTATTTCAAAATTGTAAGCTGTAATAACATTTTAGAGTGCAGTAATAGTAAAAATATGAGGTTGCACACTAACATGTATTATGTAGGATTAATTCAAATTAGAATACAATCAATTGTTCATGAAAAATTCCTTAGGTAAGAAATAACAAATATTTGATAAGAATAGAAAAGAACACATTTAATTTGCTTAAAGATGGAAAGAGGTGTGATTTATAAGAATCAACAGAATCTAGAAAGAATAGTAACCCTGTTTTTGTAGAAACACGTCAGAGGGAAAGATTCATTAGAGAGAATGAAAACATTGAAAAATGATAAGCTTTCCCAAGAAATAGAATAATAAGACAAGAAAACTACATTCAGAAAAACACACAGTTCATACTTTGGGAATTGAAATCTTGGCCCTGGGCTGAGCTGAAATCTTATGTTCCAATAATGTTTTGGGCTCTGGGGCAAATTATAAAACTGATGAAGATAGTAGGGCTGTGAGAATTAATTGGAATCTGTCACAGGGATGCTTCTCAGGCAAGTTACTACACTGTCAGTGAGAAGGGAAGCCCTTCCTGGAACATGCTACATTAAATCCTAATTATGATTTGCTGATCAAGGCTCTTATTTTCTAATCTATTCTTCACTTTTTTTTCATTTTTTTTGTATATTCCTGAAAGACATTATTTTAAATATACTAAAAATGAACTACTGTAGTTTCTGAGGGCAGAAAGATAGATGTCATAAGTAGGTGGCACCGACATGTAACAAAGACTTATAATGAGTTTCAGGAGACAGATGTCTGTTTCTGCCTAACTATTCTCACCCAATTTCTTACTCTTAAGTCAAATGTATTAATATTTGCCACCTCCCTAGCATTATTCTTTGAGGTCACTGAGATTACCTTGTTGAATATTTGTGGACATCATTAGGAACACAAGGCTGTATAAATATGTCTTATTTCATTGCTCACTCCAGCATGTCCTGTGGAATTTACTGTTGCAATTATGATTCAAAGCAATAGGATATAGGAATTTGAATCATTAAACAAATCTGCAGCACAACTTTATTCTGTGTGATATATTTAATACAAGATTTTATTAAACTCTTTGAGAATTTGTCCCCTTAAGGGTTTAGGTTAAATAGCCTGGATTAGAAAACTGAAATTTTATAATAACAGTTGAAATTCTAGCTTTCCACTTTATTACACTAACATTGCACAAGGGATTCTGGAACAGTAGATGACATTACATAACATGGATTCAATATTCATCTGCATTCTGCAGGTGCACACTTTAGATTGAATCCTAAGCAACTCATATTTTAGCCCTTACATCCAGGACTTTAATTTTTGGAGTTCCTTTGTTTAAATTTCATATATAAAATTAATTGTTCATGAAATATTGAATAATGGTATTATCACTTACAATTTTGAATACTGTCTTTCAGAATAGAGAAAATATATTTCTGAATTCCTGTTTGAACCATATCATAATATATAAAAGTGGACATAATATATAAACTGAACATAATATATAAACCCAGGACAGTGTCACCTAGGCAAACACATGAACATTTCTACACACAACAATAAATATTCAGCTAAGCCAAGGTAGATACAGATTTTAAATCACTTTATGTCAGTTAATTTCTAGTTCATCTGCCTAGTGAGCTTGAAACTAAATTTTTATTTTCAGAACATATGAATATTAGACTTATGAATACAAGACTTTAGACCTTCATTAATAAAATATGACAAAGTAATAATACTATATGAGTAGAAACAACATATATCCTGGCATTTAAAAACCATAGACCAAATATTTGGATTCAAATTTTTTGGTAAGGTATTTATTCCCTCTTACCCCTTAATTTCTTCATCTTCAATAATGGTGCCTATACTGTAGAGCACTATGCAATGCAATATGTTAATACTAATAAAATGATAAAATGCTTAGAATAATGCTTGTCATATGTGTCCTTTAAGTACTTTTACATAATGGCATCTATTTCACTTAATTTAGAATCAGAAAATAAGTATATAGTCGTTACATTTATTTCTTTGAACAAAGGTTGTGGCCAGTTCCAATATCCATACCTGCATATGAATCTGTAAGCACTTTCCACCTTTATACTCCCCTTTCTCTGTGGCTCAGTCAGGAGAATGGGCAGAAAGGAAACAAAGAACACTCATTGCACTACTGCCAGAAGAAATTTCTACAGAAGGAAAGATTAAATTAAGGACGTAAATCACATCCTAGAAATGGAGCTATCATCCTTCTTTAGGGAAGAATTAACAATCCCAGAAATGGACCTCTCTTAGGAATAAGAGACTGATATTTTTCAAAAGCAAACTACAACGAGCCATATGAGGTGATGTTAGTGTGAGTCTGACAGCCTAAGAGCACTGTCCTCCCCCAGCTCCCCAGACCAGTACGGTTTCCAGATGTGGATTACTTACTTCTGTGTTCAAGTTGGGTGTCTGAGATGTAAGTAGTAATAGGCTCCTTGTTCTATTAAATTATCTTTTCTGGGGAGAAGAAGCCACAGATTATTTTGAAATATGAAGGCAAGGAATTCTTTGTTCCTTTGTCGTAGCTTTTCCTCAGATGTGGCACTCATGGGTGCTGGAACCCAAAGCGTTAGCAGGCTCAGGTCCACATGTCATTTGTGGATGGTCATGGTTGCTCTTCCTTAATCTTAATCATTGGTCTGGCTTAGACTCCCAAGTTTTACATATTTATGGCACTGCTGATATAATTTTTTTTTTTTTTGTACCAGGGATTGAACTTGGTACCTTGCACTTGCGAGGCAGGCAGCGGCACCACTGAGCTAAATCCCCACCCCGATATAATTTCAATTAATCTTTTAGGGGTATTTTTGTACTTTAACCTATTTTTTGAATCTTGTGAATCCATTTTTACTACTTGGAACAAAATTTTAGTAACAAAACATGCCATTAAAAAAAAAGTGAACGGGGCTGGGGATGTAGCTCAGTGGTGCTGGGCCTGCCTGACAAACACAAGGTCCTGAGTTTGTTTAGTGGAACCAAAAACAAACAAAGAAACAAACAAAATGGTTGGCTTTAATTGCACAATATCATGAACATAGTAACTTACAAGACATTTTGTGTAACACTATTGTACATTCTAACCAATTGAGACTTTGAGAAACATATCAATAATGAGGAACTTCATCAAATGATGATGCACTTCTGTAATGAGATCCTTGTAGGTAGCTCACTAAGAACGTTTTTGGTACCCACTAGATATGGACCATATCAAACTGTACACTGTCTTACAAAGCCAGATGAATATAATATACCTGACATTTACTGTCTTAAATCTTTCAGTATTTCTTAACATTTTCAAAGGAAGTAATTCTTTGACTTTGTTTGCTAGAAAGATTGCTAAAGGAGGAAACTAGATTCCCATCTTACTTCTGAAAAATAAAGGGCAGAGGTCTTTAGGAGACTTTATGCTGCACCAGGAGAAATAATTTATAAAAATGCCTCAAAATAAGAGAAAATGGAGAAAGGAAGAGTATTTCAATGCTGAAAGGAAAAAAAGACTTCTGGGGGAGACATTTTAGAAATAATCCTTTATGGATAGTAATTATAGTTAGGAGCAAGAAGTTTTGTGGTACTATTGCACAGATGGTGACCATAGATGACAGTTATGTAATGTATATCTAAAAAGATCTGAAGAAACAATCCTGAATGGGGTCAGCATAAAGAAAGGGTAACTGTTTGAGGAGACAGGCACCTTTAACCTTACATAAACATCCAATGTCTACATGGATCAAAATATCACAGGGTACCCCATAAATATGCACGTTTGTTGTTATAAGCCAGTTAATAAACTTAAATTAAAAATATAAAAATAATTTATTGAGTTGACTTCTGAAACACTGCAAATACATCCTTGTATACATGCAATTCCTTCCCTCTTTTTCATGTTCCTGCTGTGGCTGTGCTGACTTTGACTACTGACTTTACCTGGAACTCTAAAGGGTTCTATAACATTTTCCTAATTTCTGTATGAAGCCTTCTGTGTTCTAGCACTTGAAGCATGCTGGTAATCACTTCACTACCTTCACTTTTCAAAATATTTTTGGATAAGCTTTCCATTTAGGATCCTGGAATTTGTATAAAGCCATGGAGGTTACATTGCCTTTGAACCAAATGCTTTTAGTTTGTGGAATTTCCTTTAACGGAAAAGACATATAAGTCTGTGGTTTTACTGTTTGCCCAGTTTTAGTACTTTCCCAGTTTTATTCAGTCCTGCTTGTTTGTTTCCATTTTCAAATGTGGAAAGATCACCATTAATTTCTATATTTTAGAAATGGTAATTTTATCTTCTTTTTTCTTTTTCAGTTGAAAGAGACAGGGATTTCTCTCACCATAGAAGACATTACAAAGAATTTAGGTTTGATCTGACTCAAATTCCTCATGGAGAAGCAGTGACAGCAGCTGAATTCAGGATATACAAAGACAAGAGCAACAATCGATTTGAAAATGAAACAATTAAGATTAGCATATATCAGATCATCAAGGAATACATGAACAGGTATCAACTTTATATCTCATTTATTTATCTGGCAAACAACTAGTGAGAATCCATAAGAATCCATTGAGAATCCATGTGATCTATCAAAACCTGTTTTCTTTGGGTGTAATGACATTCAGCTCCAGGTCCAGATACAATGAAAAGTAAGAATGATCTGAAAACTTCTACCTTTCACAAATTTTCCTTACCCTTCAATCTGTATACTAAAAGTTCTCAGGTATCCCCATGTGACCTTTTGAGACTTTTGGTCTCATTTTGTAAATTTGTCTGTCATTTTACAAAACTTCCATTTTATTCTGGACCCATGATTTTTTTTAATATTAATAATCAAACCCAGGGCCTTTTGGATGTGAGGCAAGACCCCATGACTGAGTGAATCCTCAGCCTTTTTTAAAATTTGTACTTTGAGAACAAGTCTGCTTAAGTGGCCTAGGTTGGCCTGAAACCTGTGATCCTCTTGCCTCAGTTTTACTAGTAACTGGGATTATAGGTGTGCACCAACACCCTTGGTCCTACAAGAGATTTTTAATTAAGATGATTTAAATCATTTGGTTTTCTTTAAGTTAAAGAAGCACTGCTTTACTTTTCATTGGCATAAGTGTAAATTATGTTTACATTTTTAATGTAAGATCATTCCATTTGTAACAGGTTTTGACAATCAAGCTGTATGCATTCTGTCTAAAAGTGCTTGAGAACTGAACAAAAATGGACTATCTAAAATACTAAGTGTATGAACACTTAATTGATAATTACTACAAATGAATCACCTAATATAAGAATTAACACAATGAAGAGATCTCTTGTGTGACACTTTATGGATGATTAGTTGTTTGTTGGATAGCTCATATATACATACACACACACACACACACATATATATATAAAATATACATTTAAGTATAATATATACTTAAGTATATAAGAGTTTTAAGTTTAATATATACCTAAGCTCCAATTGAAATCTTATATTGATACAGTACCTTTTCCCATTCATCAAATCTGGATCTTTCTTTTGGTGAACTACTGTGTCTTTTTTTGATGATACAAATGTTTTAGGATACCTATCTTGCTCTCTCTAAAGGTTTTTCTTTGTCTTCTTGCCACAACAGAAAAGCCTTTCTCAGCTAGGCCTGCGGGTACACACCTGTAATCCCAGCACTCTGGGAAGCCAAAGCAGGAAGACTACAAGTTCAAGCTCAGCCTGGTCAGCTTAGTAATTTAATGAGACCCTGTCTCAGTGTAAAGGCACAAAAAAAAAAAGGACTGGAGATGTAGCTCAGTGTGAAGGCTTTAAATTCAATCTCAAACACAAAAAGGAAAGAAAAGAAAAGAAGAAAAGAACCTTTCTAGTGTTATGTATAATAGCCCTACCACTGCTAGCTATTAGATTTGAGGGAAAAATATTTTGAATGCTTTACTTCATTTTCATGAGTCAGCAGGGGTCCTGAACAGGAGGTGAGCAGCAGGTGAGTTTCACCTGGACTTTTAGCCACTGTCCATCAGTGGCTTTATCACCTGAACACCACCTTCTTTTGGCTCAGTGGTGACATTAAGACTCTCATAGGGGCACAAACCATCATGAACTGCATATAGAAGGCATGTAGGTTGCACTTTCTTTTGAATCACCCCAAATCACCACCCTTGTCCTTCTAAGTCTGTGGAAAAATTGTCTTCCATGAAATCAGTCCCTGGTTCTGAAAAGGTTATGCTAGTGTGCCACACTTTTCCAATGGGTGTTTCATGAAACTGTAGTCTTTTGTGATACATAATGAAGATAAAAAGCTTTTGAGGTCAAATAGTTTGAAAAGCCTACTGGTAGACCATCCTCTAGGAGGCTCATAGTGCAAAACAGAATGTTAAAGTGTTAGGCTTTATGGTTAAAAAATACTGATTAATTTTGTTTCAGCTAGTTTTCCTTAAAATTGTCTTTGGACTGTTTGTGCAGTATACTTACACCCATGGAACACTGGTTAAAACAAGATCCATTTTAATAAATACAGAGTCATATGCCCTCATTTTTAAAAGTGGTAATTTTGAAACAGTTAGATTTCACTGTTCCATTTTCAGCTTTAACACTTCTAGCTAGTTTTCTACAGGTGAGTCCTGTTTTCCAAAATACTCGATTCAAGCTGGGAAGGGTGTCATAGGCTTATGAGCTGAGTACTCTTGAAGGCTGAGGCAGGAGGATTGCAAATGTTTTTTTGCATTTAGTTTATTGGTACATTTTAGGTATACAATACAGTTACATTCATCATTGGGATTTTATACCTTTAGATGGTGTATCTTGGTTCTTATTTTTTCCCTATTTCCCTGCCCTCCCTTCACCCCCTCCACCCTTCCCTATTTACAAAGACTTTGTTTCCATGTTTTTCCTTTTCTCATATTTTTTCTTTTCTCTTCTTTCCTTTCCCCTTCCCCTCCCACTTTCTCTATCCCTTTGGACCTTTTCTTCCTATTTCAAATTATCAATTATCTATTTTGATTCTTATTCACACTTTTATTTTTTCACACTAGAGAAACTATTCGGTATTTACATAAGTGTCCTATGTATTTCACTTAAGAATATGGCCTCAATGTGCATCCGCTTAGCTATGAATGTCTCTAGTTTCTTGTTCTTTATGGATGAGTAGTACTCCATTTTATGAAAAAAAAAAACACATCTTCTTTATCCAGTCTCCAGTTGATGGGCAATTGAGCTGTTTCCAAGTTTTAATTATTACAAACTGTGCTGCCATAAACATGGGTACACATTTACCACTGTGGTATGATTCTTTTAATTCTTTTGAGAAGATACCCAGTAGAGGAATAGCTGAGTCAAATGGAACTTCCAATCCTAGTTGTTTGAGATATCTCTATATTGATTTCCACAGTGGTTGCACCAGTCTACACTCCCACCAGCAATGAAGAAGTGTTCCTTTCTCCCTACAATCCTGCCAGGATTTGCTATTGGTTGATTTCATGATAGCATCTATTCTTTCTGGAGTGAAGTGGAATCTCAGCATTGTTTTCATCTGCATCTCTCAAATGACCAGTGGTGTTTAACATTTTTTCATATGTTTATTTTCTGCTTTTACTTCTTTGCCTGAGAAATGTCTATTCATTTCAGATGCCCATTTTTGAATTGTGTCTTTGTATTTGAGGGGTCTGAGATTTTGAGTTCTTTATATATTCTAGACAGTAGACCTTTGACTGAGGAACAGCTTTTAAAAATTTTTTCCCACATTGTGGGTTGTCTCTTAGCTCTGTTGTTGGTTTCTCTTGCAGTGCAGAAGCTTTTTAATAAGATGAGATCCCAGTTGTTGATTCTTGTGCTAGTTCCTGAGCTACTGATGCTTTGTTCATACAGTCCTTTCCTTTGCCAATGTCTTTGAGAGTTCTACCTAACTTGTCTTCCAGCAAGTTTAGTGTTTCTGTTTTAATATTTAGATCTTTAATCCACTTTGATCTTAGTGTAGTGCATGGTGGTAGGTATGGGTCTAGTTTTAACTTTGGCAAGTTGAAATCCAGTTTTTCTAACACCATTTATTAAAGAGCCTATCTTCTCCAGTGAGGATGATTGGCTCCTTTGTCAAAGATGAGGTAGCTGAGTATGTCTAGAGTTTCTTCTGCATCTTCTAATCTATTCCACTGATCCTTGGGTCTATTTATTTGTCAGTGCCAAGCTGTTTTTATCACAGTAGCTTTGTAGTACAGTTTCAAGTTGAGAATTGTGATACCTCATGGCATGACTCTGTTGCCTAGAATTGCTCTTGCTATTCTAGGCCTCTTCTGGTTCCAAATGAACTTTAGGATTGTTTTCTCTAGTTCTGCCAAATATGCTGTTGGAATTTCAATCGGGATTGCATTGAATCTGTATAGCAGTTTTGGAAGTATGGTCATTTTCACTATATTGGTTCTTCCTACCCAGGAACAGGGGATGTCATTCCATTTTCTTATATCTTGTTCAATCTCTTTTTTCAGAGTGCTGTAGTTCTCAATGTAGAGGTCTTTTGCTTCCCTCATTAGATTGATTCCTAAATATTTCATTTTTGGGGATACTATTGTGAAAGGGATTGTTTCCCTAATTTCTCTTTCAGTGAGTCTGTTATTTGTGTACAAGAAGACTATTGATTTTTGAGTGTTGACCTTGTATCCAGCTACTCTATTGAATCTGTCAATTAAGTCTAGAAGTCTTTTGGCAGAGTTTTTTTGGGTCTTCTATGTGGAGTATCATATCATCAGCAAATAATGACAGTTTAACTTCTTCCTTTACTATCTTTATTCCTTTCATTTCTTTCTCCTGTCTAATTGCTGTGGATAATGTTTCCAAAACTATATTGAACAGGAGTGGTGATAGTGGACATCGTTGCTTTGTTCCTGATTTTATCGTGAAGGTTTTCAGTTTTTGACCATTTAGTATGATGTTGGCTGTTGGTTTTTCACAGATAGCCTTTATCAAGTTGAGATAAAGACCATGGATTCCAATCTTTTGCAGGGTATTTTTCATGAATGGGAGTTGAATTTTATCGAATGCTTTACTGCATCTATTGAAATGATCATATGGTTTTCTTTCTTCCTTGACTCTGTTAATATAATGTATTACATTTATTGATTTACGTATGTTGAACTATCCTTGCATCCTTGGGATAAATCTGACTTGGATAGGACAGGGTGTATGATCTTCTTGATGACACTCTGTATTCTGTTTCCCAGTATCTTGTTGAGGATTTTTGCATCTATATTTATTATGGATATTGGCTTGTTGTTCTCTTTTGTGGTTGCATCTTTCCCTGGTTTTGGAATCAAAGTAATACTTGCTTCCAGGAATGAATTTGGGAGTATTGCTTCCCTTTCAATTTCACTGAAAAGTTTAAAGAGTAGTGGCAATAGTTCTTCTCTAAATGTTTTGTACAATTCAGCAGTGAAGCCAAAAGGACTTGGGCTTTTCTTTGTTGGTAGATTTTTAATTATGTTTTCAACCTCACTGATTGTAATTGGGGTGTTTAGAATTTTTATATCTT